AAACATGTCACTGTATAATTACTTCAAAAACTGTTCTTGAATATGTTGAAAAAAACAAGAACGTTGTAAACAAACTGCAAGCTTTCTCTGTGAGTTTGCATTCTATCTCTTGACGCTTGGGTTTATATATGGACTCTGGTTTACTCTTACAGACTAAAAAATATACGCTAGGTTAACTGACAACTCTATTGTCATTACAGAGTGGTAATGGTTGTATGTCGTTTTTGTCTTCATGCAGCCCTGTGAGGGACTGGACACATGCCAGGTTGTATCCTGCCTCTCACCCAACAACAGCTTAGGCACCAGCTCCCCATAAACCTGCATGGAGCAGCAGATAAAACAAAATGGGTGGATGAATCGACAAAATTCCAACTTTCTTTTAGTTAAACTTTATCTCCAAAGAGCTTTACTACATCAGGATTAAATTAAAAGCTTTATTAAGTTGTAAATAAGGTAATAAAAACATTAAGACACATAGACTGCGTTAGGGTTTTTAGGGAAAACATTAGCAGAAGCTGGTAAACCATCTGAATGTAATCACAGGGAACTGATGGAATGAGTCTGCATCAGTCTCATTTACAATTTAAACACAAGCGTGTGCCTTTTTCTGGCTGTACTCCACTCTCTCATAATGAGAGGCTGGCCTGTCCGCTGAAGTGTAAGAGCTTAATAACGGAGCGGCAATAAAACTCTGCCTTCATTATGGCTGCCCTCCCCTTTGGCTTGACCCTCAAAACTTTCCCGGGCTTGTTCATCCTCCTCCAAACCTTGGCAAGGTGGACGGCGGAAGAACAACATCTACGTGCTTCACTGGTCAACAGATTGCTGCATATCCGAGCTCCCTGGGTGAGGCCAGCTGCCACTGATTTGTGCTTTTAGTCAAAATAGCTCCAACATTCACTTTTCATTCCTTCTCCATGCAGCCACATGCCTTTACCTCGTCTGATCGTCTGACTTTAGGTTCTAAAGAAAAAAAACTGGCAATCTATATGGTGTCAAGATGTCAGAGAAATAAAATCATTTTGGAAAAGAAAAATTGATCAAACCTGCAGCATCTGGAGCTTCAAGATCATTGCACCATAACTAGAAACACATGTTCTCTCAGAGTTTCTTTTCATCTATGTCCACTTAAAAAAACACACTTTTCTATCAGTGTCAGTAACATTCCTGGTGCTTTCAGGCCCTGAAGGGAAGTAGGTTTTTCTTCAAGCCTGAGATAAGTGCAAGACACACAAGGTCTGCCAGCCCAGAGCTCCTGCCAAGATCTCATCTTTAATAGATCTGCTCGGCTGCAGTATCAGAACATGTTGAAATTAAAACCACTGCCAGCTACACGTGCTGGGACACCTTATAAGTGATGTTTGAACTTCGAGCGCCGTCCAGCACTGGGCGATTGATGTCCAAGCAGTTTCTGGCTTCACTCTTTTTATGTTTTATACTTTTTTTTTTCTTTTTCCTCCTCAGATCACACTCCCTCAGGGAAACACTATTACCCCTCTGTCAGATGAAGAAACCTACAGTCTATTGTACGTAGGCGTTGATACAACTTGAGGTCCGCAAACTGGGAATTTAAATTAAACCTAATTATCATTAGAGACTAGTTAAATGTTGGCAATGTGTTCTCGTGAACAGTGCGTCATGTGCACAACATAAAACAAATTATGAAGCGAAACTGAAACTGTTATCTCCTGCTGAAGAGACAATTTCAACTAAATTACTTGCTTGACTGATTTTAATACGCAGTGTTATTATTTCCATGTCTTCCCTCTAATTATGTGAGCCGCCGCCTTCTCCTCCACCTCCTCAGGGGGGGATGCCCATCCACTATCATTCCCACTGAGCTGAGGCATTACTTCCAATTAAGGTCACATCATTGAAGAAGACAGATGAGGAGAGTCCCGCATCTGAGGGAGGGAGGAGTTCGGTCACTCTTGCAAATGAGGTAAAGACGCGCTGAGGAGAATTCCCTCGAGTGGAGCTGCTGGTTCCGACCAGGCTGCTGGTCATGCTGTGTTTGGGAACCGATCAGCGAGCGCACAGACGACGGTGGACAAGTCAGCTCACCGATGGACAAACAAACACATCTGTGAGCAGGTTTTCTGCTGAGACTCGTCAGGATGTGAGCTTGTCTATTATTTAGCCGGCRTAAAGGAGCTAAAGATGAGGCGCCAGACAAACAGTAAAGGGTGTGAGAATGCAAATCACCTGAAGGCATCCCCAAGAGAGGAGCCTCCTTTTGGTTTGTTTGGCAAACTGCGCAGACCTGAATCAGCAGTGAGAGAGCTCTTAAACCGGCCGACAGCTCTGCTGGGGGATTTTCACTCAACCAAATGAGGGAATCGATAAGGTGTACAGTTGTACAGGGTCCACAGGGAAACAATTAATAGTGGAAATACAGCCATGAAGGAGCTTTTTAGACACTCTCCCTCTGAACGTCTCTACTGGATCAAACTAAAGATCATCCCTGTCAGGCCGTTGCTTTTTATTAAACTGCTCACAAATAGATTCTGGCAAAATGTTTGAGTAAAATCAAACATTGTATTGACTGAGTTTGTACAGTTAAAAAAAAGCAAGTCACAGCAAAGACAATTACTTAGTTTGCACAGAATGCACAACAACTGGATTGCACATGATCCAGGCAGTGCTTAAAATTCATAAATTAGCCTCAGGAGACCTCCTTAACTCCATCTTGTGTCTTTGAGGCGTCGCGTAATAAATCCTGTGTAGTGGAACGAGTCAGCCGACGCACGCTGTATTGGTATTTGGTGGTGGATTTGCATGCTTTTAAACTCTTTTTTTTTAACATAAGGTTTATTGCACACGTGACACTGGAACAGGTGTCCAATAATTACCTCCTGCCATAAAAAGGAAGCGACCTATTGGCTCAGCGTAACCTGTAGACTTTAATGGTCCTCTGCAACTGCTCACGAGGGAAAGACGCAGATTAGCAAGTAAAGCAGATGTATTATCTTGTCAATATTTGTCACCAGCTCGCTAAAAACAAAGGTCATCATTAGACAGCGTGATTGAAATAAACCAACCTGTCATTGATTTACATCTACGCTGCGTTTGACTGGAGTCAGAGGAATGTCTATGCTGCAAATCCATTTCTTATCTTAAAAAGTAGATGGCATACTGTAACAAGATCACCCCCCCCCCCCACCACCACCTTTTTTTTAGCCCAGAGGCTATTACCAAACAATGCAGCGAAAGGCTCAGTGGAATGAAAGACCAGCTGCTTTTGCCTGCTGCTGCTGCAAGGCTGCCCTGTCTTCTTTTCATGCTCCCCATCACACGCAAGAAAATTACATCACAAAAGGATCCTGCACTCAAAGCGACGAGTTTCTGCCTTGGGGAAACGAGCAGCGTTGGGAAAGCACAAAGTAGGGGCGGGTAAAGAAATGGGGGTGGGGGTGGGGGGTGTTACGGGTGACATGATGTACAGTGAGTAAATATAAGATGGAGCTTTCTGTTCTGTCTTTTAACACACTGAAGATCCTCTGAGATAATGTGTCAGTCAACAAAATGTTTAAATTCACGCTGCTTACTGAGACAGAACCAGAACATTAGGAGGCTTTTGGCATGAAATTGTGGCATTTGTCTGAACTCTCTTTGCTACTTAAACATGACATGTCTAATAATATAAGTGTGGCACAAGAAGCAACCCTTTCTATTTGAAAGAGCTGTTTGCAGGTTGTGGTTTGACCTGACGTGTGATAGTTCATAAATCCAGCCCCTCCTCTTGAAAATGAGTAAACATGATTAGCCTATAATTATGTGCAGGTCATTGATTAGTTACTTGAGCTGACATTTGCAGGTAAAAAGTTGTCAATGAGCCCAAGTCAAGGAGACAGACTTGACATATGATGAAACAAATCCTTCCCGACAAGCAGATTTCATCAGAAAATACTAAGACCTAAATATCTGCTGCTTAATGTCAAAGATCAACTTACTGCTACATCAGACACAGTTTAAATTCTCAAACCTTGAAGCTCCAGTAGAGCAGATGTGGGATATCTTGATTCAAACACTTCGAGAAATTATCTTGCATGCAAAAACTAAACAAAAAAGTCAATTTCCTATTTTCCAGACAGATATTATGTGTGAAAGCATTTTGTAAAGAGTGCAGGTAGTTATAATTTACACGAAAATTAAAAACTAAATCAAGCCTTCACAAGATTTTGAACATTTCAGTGAGTGTGCACAACACAGCGTCAGAACGGGAATAAATTAGACACAAACTACACATTCAAAGTATATAAATTTGGCAATCAGATGGAAAACATAGCATGATTTACTAAAATTGTGCTGCTGTGACCATSATCTGTTTTCTAAAATTCCCTTTAACACAATTAATACTTTATTCACACACTTAAAGCTGTAACATGATAGTGTTCCAAGCTGTATATATTCACACATGATGAAAATAAAGCATTTAAAGCAATTCAGCCGAGAAGAGGAGGCGTAAATCATAATTTAGTGTTTCATAAATATTTTGCCTCACACACACGTCGTGCCATATTTGATGGAAGCAATTTAAAGTGAGAGGAAAACAGAGAAGACGTTGCTGCATAATCTTTATTCATTGACCATGCATTTTGCAGCAGAGGTATAATCAATCATACAGTGCACGCTGCCCCTTTGTCAATGTGTGCATCCACGCCGGAGGGGGGACTGGCTGCTCGCACTAATTATCATCTTGGAGGACACAGCTTTGTGTTCGTGGTGCAGAGAAATGCTCCGCAAGTCTGCATGGGACAGGAGGACTGAGTGGACAAAGGCTGGACCCAGCCCGCAGCACCCCGCAACACACCCACGCTGTCCGGGGAAAATGGATGGAAACGGAAGAGGGTGAAAAGTGTCAATGAGTGAAATCTTTGATCCCCCCCCATCAGAGGACACACAGAAAAGCCCCTTCACAGACAACCTCACACAGATCTGCTCTGAGCAGCGGTGTGGGAGAAAAGTAGCAGTAAAACAAGGTAAAGATGCACACATACCAGCTCCGTGGTCATGTTCTGTTGAGTTGTGGCGATCATTGTGATCGGCAACAAGCTCTGCTTCCCGTGGAGCGTCACAACAGCCCGCCGAGCAGCTGCACTCTTCTTTCTGCTCGGCTTCTTGCAAGTTTGTCCTCAGCGGGCTGGTGGTCCTCCCTCCCCCTCCCTCCAACATCATCATCCCTCTCTCTCTCCACCAGCTGAGCTGACTGTTGACTGGGATGGAAATTATTCCAGGTGTTCAGCAAGGAAACCATAAAATCATGTCATCCACTAAAGCTGTAGCTTTCCAACAGAAAGAAATGAACATGAAATGCAGTTAAGTGTGAGTGATGAAATTTGATGAAATATGGGATACCGTTTGAATACCAGCTAAATTTAGTCACATTTRGCTTCAAACGCTGTTTGAAAAAGTAGTTTGGATTTTCTAATGTCACCTTTTAACATATTTAGGTTGTTAAATCTAAAGTACTACCAAAATAAAAGCTCAACTGCATATAT